GGGGGGGGGGGGGGGGGGGGTGAGCAGGGGGTATGACAAAAGCGCCCTCCGGCCAGTTTTGACACCCATGCGCGCAAAGCTGTTCGGGATGAAACCGTGCACACGTACTGCTGGTATCTCGACACTCAGCAGACCTGTGTATCAAAGAGGGAGGCGGAGGTGTTACAGTGGACGCGCGGAGAACTCTTGATACTTCTCTCATTCACCAGAAAATCGTGCGGGCGTTGCACGCACTCTATGTAGAGTCTCGTTTTTCAGAATAATTTTCCAAAGAAGGTCAGATTCACGGTCTATCTCTGTTGCAATACTGGTGAACCATGCTACAATCCTTCGTGAGATTTAGCTCTTCCGTTCAGAACACACCTATTGAAAAACCAAACAACTCTGCATCAGCTCCAGCGGTTATGCTGCCGTTTTTGCGTGCTTCGTGCGTAGAATTTGCACGCGCATGAAAACACCATACGCATATCCGTCCCCCCGCCCTCCCCCCCCCCTCACCATATTGTCTCCTCGAGCTTTCGCTCCTTCTTCGTCGCTCTCTCTACGCAAGGGCGCACGCACGCCCACAAGTCACCCTGATCCGCCTCGAGCTGGCGTTATCTCATCTCTTCATCCTGTCGGTCAATACTTCTGCACTCATTCGTCGGCTCAACAGAGGAAGAGCAACACCCGTGGCGGCGGCGGCGGCGGAGGCGGCGGGGTGCAAGCCAGTCAGATGGCGGCAGGGTGGTGTGTAGCCGACCTGCAGAGGGTCGCAAAGCAGGGTGGCGGAGATGGCGCGCGTGTGGCCATCACCAACATTTTTGGCAGCAGCGGTAGCCAGTATCAGCACAAGAACCACCCCCCCCGAGCAGCAGCACCTCTATGAGCAGGTCCAGCAGTACCGAAGGCCGGCTACCGAGAAGCTGCCGACGAGGAAAAACGCCGCCGACGACAACAACCACTGGAGTTGCCCCAGGCCCTCCGGCAACAATAACAACCGCAGCAAGCGCAACACGGCCATCGCTCGAGCTTCCATCAGCCCCGCGTCCAAGTGGGCGGTACACCGGTTCAAGGGCGAAGGGCGGGGGGGTGGCAAGGGCGTCGGCCGGACGGGAAAGGACCGGGCGGCGGGTGGGGGGTACGGTGGAGAGCTCGCGCCAGTCGCCGGAAACACCTCCGGTGGGGAACCCCAGAAAATCTGCCGTCTCAGGCCAAGAGCCCAAACCCTCCTCCGTTCTCTGCGTCTCTACTGAGTGTGTTGNGGGGGGGGGGGGGGGGGGGGGGGGGGGGGGGGGGGGGGGGGGGGGGGGGGGGGGGGGGGGGGGGGGGGGGGTGCACCCAGTGTTCTTGTCGGTGCGTGGTCGTGGCGATGGACGAGGGGCGACAGCCGACCATCACCGATGGAAGCCAGCTTGACTGGGAAGACTTTTTAATCACCCAATATCTCGAGCGGCCTTGCCTACCAAAAGTGGGGGCGGAGGGCGTCGGCTTTCCGCAAATCTGGCCTCAGTGCTGCGGGGTGCGAGGGAATTGTTTTGGCCGGGGAGGCGGAACGAAGAGAGAACCTGTTGTTGTAGGCGAGTGCGGGAGGGAGGGATAAAGGCTACCTACCCTTGTTGGCCCGTGGACATACGTATGAATTGCGCCACTTCGAGAGGGAGTCGAGCGGGAAGGGAGAAAGGGGTTTTGAGTGTACGATGTAGGGTTGTTCGTTGCTGTTTCGGCGGCAGAAGGAAACAACGCTTCGTTCGGCGGAAGGAGCACTAGGCTTGCTTGGGGTCGAGGGGCTGGGCAGAATGGAAAGGACGAAGAGAAACCGTGGATAGAATGGCGAGAGTGTGCGGTTTGACGAAAAACTTGGAACAAAAAATTATGTGTGAAGATGGGGCGGCAGGTTGGAATTTGAATGACTTCCTGCGCAGAGGCATGGTGTGCCGTTAGATGTGCCGCTTTGCCGTGTGTAATGGTCTAGCTGGGGGGCGGGGGGAGGGCACAGTGTACTGCTCGGCCTACAGTAGCTGCCGAGCATCAAGGCCTCCAACGTTGTGGGTGAATGCTGTCGCTGCACAAACATCAGCTAGCCTTGTAGGACGTGGCTGCAAACAGAGTGAAGCAACGGATCCGTTTGGGATCTCGCTGTTATCAGACAGAATGAAATTAGGGACCCCCTGGTAGCGAAAACATTTTTTTTTCGATACATTGCCCTGCTCTGCTCTGGCAGGGCTTCCTCCAATCCGAGGTCCTCTCTCTCCTTGGATCCTTTTTTTGAGGTTGAAGGGATTGAACGGGATTTATTTGTTGTTGTTGTGTGAAGGCTGCAATTGACTGAACGTTGCAAGAAAAAGAAGAAGGAAACATTGTACTTTTAAGGAAACAGACGACGCTTGAAAAGCAAGAACAGAAGAGAGAGGAAACGCAACGATAAGAAATTCTAGAGCAAAGACACAACAAGTAGTAAGTGGAAAAAACCGTCCGCTGAGCTACTATGAAGTAACGTACACAAGTAAGTATGCTATGGCATACTCCGGAGTATATAGTATCTACAGGCAGCAGCAGCATACATACGTACATGACACACGTTTCCTACAAGGCAATATAGTTGGTTGGGCTAAAAGGCTTCCGCAGCACGAGACAAGGAGGAGAAAAATCAAAATGCTGCCCTTGAGCGACAACGAACGTTCACTACATACAATACTCGAACTCTCTTAGGCAAAACTCTATGGAGTCGTATGTACAGGCATTGCAGCATGCATTGGCATGCATACTTGCAAGAAGTTTGCTACAAAGGCGATGGAACTCGGCGATAAGGCTACAACATCAGAAAGACACAAAAAAGTACCGAGCCGGTTGGGAAGCATGGAGCTAAACTGCCTGTTGCATTATGCGCCAATCTAAAGGCAGCAGAAGACACACAAGACACAAAGAAGTTATTGAGTCGCAGCCCATGAAGAAAAGTAACAGAAAAGTCACAGGAACAATGAACGTGGGGCCAACGCTCGTAACGCTAAACAACGTACTCGGCGAACTACGTATCCAAAGGCAGCAGAGTACACAACAAACACACACACACGTCGAGGACCTCAGGTCTTCGGTTTCTTGGCGGCCCGGGTCGTGTTGGTGTCAGTGTTTTTAGCAGCGGTCTTGGCGGCAGCGGTCTTGGCGGCAGCGGGCTTGGCGGCGGCGGCGGACGTCGACGGAGCAGGCGGTTTGGTCGGGCTCGTGGTCGGTGTCACGGTTGCCACCGTGTTGTTCCGTTTGTTGTACCGGGCACGCTTTTCGACGCAGGTAGCCTGAGCGGCGCGGAGGACAGTGACGCGCTTACGGTCGAAGCATTGAACACACTGCTCCGCGCCGTCGGTGGTGAAGACGAACAAGTCGACGTCGGTTGCCGGGCATTTGGTGCAGTTGCCGGAATCGGCTCCCGGGGGGTTGCAGTCATCAGGGTCGGCGTGCGTGTATGCCGACACCTTGTCGGTAATTTTCCGCGACCAGTACGTGTGACGCGGTGGTATCGTTGTCGTGCACACCTCGCACGACAGGGGCGCCCTAGGCTTGCCGTTGGTGCCGATGGCGTCGGCGTCGTCGGCCGTGGCAACGTAGAGGCCGCAGGGTGAAGGGCACCTGACACGTTGAAAGGGTTGGGGCGGTGGCGGAATGATGACCGGGGGAGGGGTGAGGAAGGGATTCGAAATGATGGCGACTATTTGTAGGGGGCATGACGGCGTGGAAGTCAGTACATGTACAGGATGTGAAAATGTTTGTAGGGCTATCAACGCAAGCAAGGACCCGATCGCCACAAATAAGAAAGGAAGGCGAGCGATAGGTATTTTTTTGATAAATGAAGTTTGTACAAAAGGAGCTAGCTGTTGACGCTTGGAAGCGATGGGATCGCCGATCGCCTGAAACGGAGAGAAAGGAAGGTAGCGGCAGATAGCTTGTTTCGTGGTTGATAAATCTTGCGCAACTGGCGTTGCATGGGGTGTTCTTGTAGCACCAGCGTTGACTAGCAAGCGGTATGTAAAGAGAAGCGACTATGTACTGCTGTATTGCCAAGGCCTCTCTTGTTTGCTTTGTTTTGATTGGTTTTGCGCTTGTTTGTTTGAATGTCGTCATTCATTTGTAGATGGTGCGGTCGGTCGCGATGGTTGCAGGAAAGAAGAGTGTACAGCACAACAGCCGTTGCCAGCAGCAGATGCCTCTCTGACCTCCTGCCTTCTTCGTGCTATCTCCTCATCGGCGGCATGGCGCTGTCGGAGCATCCCCTTGATGTTGATTCTCATCGATGTCGACCTCTGGTCCCACAGACCTGATTCTTCCGTACGGCGAAGAGCTACGGCCCAAGACGCCTCATCGGGCAAGCGCAGGTCATGTATCTTGAAGAACGGCTTATACAAACACAGGAGAAGCTGGGCGTGGTTTTCCGGTTGGGTGTCTTGCTTAGGCACATCGCGCATGATGTTTATAAGAATGGGTTCTTCTCGTGTGACCTGGCGTGAAGTAAGAAACGTGCGGTGTGTAGGGTAAGAGAAGAACAATGCGGGGGCGGTGCGACGTAAAATGGGCAATGTATGTGAGGCTATGTACTTGTCACGCAACACGGAAGTATCACCTGCTGTTTGTGGACCGTCGGGAGGCCGACGAAGTCGTGCCGTTTCGCGAGTGGGCGCCCCCGCTTCCTTCTAGCCGCAGGAGGGGAAGGAGGAGGGGTGTCGCAGGTGTCATCGCTGTCTCCCGATTCTCGGTCGTTGTCGTCGTTGGGGCGACGCGCAGGCTTTTGTTTCCGAGGCGTGTTCTCTATTCGCACTAGGCGAGCCCAAACGGCGTAACACATGCCGTGGTACGGGTGTTCGGTGTCATTCGGGAGACATCGTCGAAGGTAAAGCTCGTGCAAGCTTATGGAGATTCTGATCTTGCCGCCGGAGGTGTTGAGAATGGCACCGCTGTGGTAGTCGTTGTCGTCGTCGTCGTCGTCGCCGTCGTCCTCGTCATCAGCATTCTCGTTGCTGCCCTCGGCCGGAGGCAAGGCGTCGAATGACGCTGACGCTAGGGCGAGCAGAGGCTTCATCGGGCAGGTCCGAGCGTCGGGAGCACTCTTGGCGTCGGTGTACTCAAGGACTTTGCTGGCGGCAGCTGGCGCGCCTACGGGCATGTGTGCTACCGTCTTGCACGAGCAAGCGCGGACTAACTGCGCTGCTGTGACGGCCGCCGGCGCTCCTTCAGCTTCGTCCTTAATCCGTTCGACAACTGGGGCGAGGACATTCAACAGAGCGTCCATTGTAGTCTCGGTCTTCGTGCTGTAGTTCAAGATGTAGAACAGCGCGCCCCTGGCATCACTATCGCGAAGCAGAGCCTTGATGTCCATGTTGCTGCGCGTGCAGAAAGCGATGATGAGATTGTAGGAGTTGACTTTGCGGTGCTCACGGCGATGCTTTGCAGTAAAACGCTCAGCTACCGTTGCGAAATCCAGCTTCCCGCGCGAAACGTCGTCGGATTCATCGGCAAACTTCTGGATCTCTTCTTCCTCTTTAGCCGCGGCGGCATCCGCAGCTGCAATAGCGTCTCGACTCTGAGAAGCTGAGTACAAGACGCCCCCGACTACGCTGTCGCCGTTGGGATAAATCTGACGGAAGCCGCGCTGCACGCATGTGCGACTTTCAAGCGGCTTTCCGTCCTTCCCGAAGCCAAACCTATGAAGCAGGTAGGTACGAAGAAGGAGAGCAAGCATGATGCATAAGAATCGGGAAACACCTGCACGAGTTCGCGTTACCGTGTTTGTGGCAGGCGTAGGTGCATTGGGGCACGAAAGAAGGAGAACAAGCAAGCATAAGAAACGGGAATGAAGAAGACACAGAAAAGCACGAAAACACGCCCTTAAGAAACGAACCAAATACATGCCGGAAGAAATCATACCTGCACGAGTTCGCGTGACCGTGTTTGTGGCAGGTGTAGGTGCATTGGGGCACGAAAGAAGGAGAACAAGCAAGCATAAGAATCGGGAATGAAGAAGACACAGAAAAGCACGAAAACACGCCCTTAAGAAACGAACCAAATACATGCCGGAAGAAATCATACCTGCACGAGTTCGCGTGACCGTGTTTGTGGCAGGTGTAGGTGCACTGGTGCATGTTGGCTGCCTTTGTAATTTCCGCGAGCTCAGCGCGAAGGGGTCCGAGATACTGTTCGTCGGCGGCGACATCGCGTTCAACTCCAGGTGGCGGGAAGCATGCAGACGGCGGCGGCATTGCGATTGTCTCGGTTGCAGGTCGTTTGAGAGGATCGCGGGACGGCGGGGGCGTACCATCTTCTGGTGCGTTTGATGGCTCTATGCCGCCCGTCATGGCGTGTTGGACGTCTTCGTCGGAAGCAACTTGGGAGAAGATGGTGCGACTCAGGAAAGATGCTAGCTCCTGGTAACTGTCCGGGGTCTTGTCCATGAAGTCTCGCAAGGTGCCGAAATCGTTGAGCCATACACCCAAACGAGCAAGTGGCAGTGAAGAGTCAACCGCCGCTGCTCCTCTGTCATGCCGACGTAAGCCTTGACCCTGCCGAGAACGCCACCGTCGCCATCTTTGGCCCCGAAACGCAACAGCGTTTTCATGACGGCGTCGATCATGACGTGGAAGAACTCGGCCGAAGCGACAGGATCGGCAGCAATGAGCTGTAGCCGTTTCACATACTGCGGGAGATCCGTCTTGAGCCTGCTGCTGACGTCCAGGTCGACACCCGCAAGTTTCATGACGACCGGACTGTTGCTGTCTGCTGGGTTTATCGTCATCCAAAACAAAGGCTGCCCGAGCTGGATGATCATGGAGATAGCTTTCATTCGAAGTGTCCTCTTGTTGAACATGGTCCAAGACGCATCGCCGTTGACGGACTGCATGGTCCGAATGAGCTGGCGGGCCGCGGGGCGGTTGGCAAGAGCTTTTGCGGTGGAAGTACCACCTTCAATCTCTCGTGCAACAGCAAGTAGGTCGTCCGGAGTGATACCATCTAGCTCTTGGGCGACGCCACGCGACACCCTTCCCGTCAGCTTCCAGTGCGCGTTGGAAATGGCTTCCCGTCGAAATATTATGGCTGCCAAACAGAAAACAAACGTCCTGTTTTTTCTGAACCGCGGGTCTCGTCGACGTAGAAGGCAGCGCGCCCACTTGGTAAAATTGAGAGGCCGCTGACGCTTGTCCAGGTGTCCACCTACACCATGCGGGAAGAGATCGAAATACGCGGCGATCATGACACCGGGCTCGTTGAAATCCTCTACCATTTTGCCGGTGTGGGGCAACACCAGCATGTTTTTCGTTTGTTCCGGTGGAGGCCGACCACCGGCAACGGCCCTTGAAGCCGCCGCTTTCGCGGCCAGGCTACACGCGGAAGAAGGGGTGGAGCCAGCGGCTTGCGCGTCGTCTTCTTCTACATCCATGGCAGTAGGTGCAGCCGTCCCGGCGCTGTTAATCAGATCCGTCTGGAGAGTCCTCAGCCGTTCCGGTCTGCTTTCTGAGGAAACAGCCTGCTCTCGTCCGGAAGGAATTACAGCACAATTGTCGATGATGAAAGCAGGGTTGTCGTCTGCGTTCTGGCCATCGACCGCTTCGTCGGCGTCATCGACGGGAGTTTCAGGTTGACGGTTGTCACGAACGTAGGACGAGCTAGCTTTCTCACGTAAGCGTGACGCGTCAACAGCGGGAATAAGGGAGTCCAGTATTCGCGGAGGCACTGAGCCGTCCTGTGGAAATGTGTCCAGGTTCTCTACTGACGTTTGAGCCCTTTTGAAGAGGACGTGTTCTCCTGCAAGCTGGTTTTGTTCATCACGTTGGAAATCCATTAGCTCCTGAATCCTGCTTCGCCTCGCTCCCAAAAGCTTCCTTAGCTGAGCTTCGGTGGGGCGCGCCCCCACCAAAGCGCACGTCATGGAACCGGCAATGTCGGTGTCGCAGGTCGGCAAGACCTTTTCTACACCGTATGCATTTTGAAAGAAGAATGTAAAGGTGCCGCGCATCATCCGATGGGCAGAACCGGGTATGGCACCGACCTTAAGCTGCTCCAAAGCGAAGACCATACCGCTAGTTCGAACGGGACTTGCAGCAGCCATTTCGACCCATGTCGAATCCTTTAGATGCTCGGGGAAATCACCCACCCACAGGCCATTTGCCAATGTTGCGTAGGGCGTTTTGTTGCTGTTCAAGTCTCGAAGGCACTCACTGCAAACTCGGAGGCGATGCAGCGGGCCGGACTCGAACCCTTCCCTGGCCAACACAAGCCCATCAAGGCACTTGTTCGTGTCACCCGGGTAGTCCTTCATGTCGTTCATGATGCTGTCGTGGGCCTTGAGGTGGGGTCCGGCTGTGAGAAGAGAACGATTCGGAAGCTCGTTTGCCGACACCCACTCGCAATCAATCCGACGACACATGAGGTCACACACAGCACACGAGACACTGGGAGGAAACCGAACGGTGGGAAACCCAACGAGCGTCAGTAAATATATAACGGCAAGCTTACACGAGTGTGTATGTACATTGTACTCGAGACGGCCGACAAACGTTTGACCATCCCATGGATATTGTTCGCGTCTTTTGTTCAATATGGAACACCAAGCATGTATGAACAGGTATGCACAACAGCGTCGGAGACGGCCGAGAAATGTTTGCCTTATACGTACCTGTGAATATTGTCCGCCATGTACGTGTGGAAGTCGGCGATACACTTGAACAACATCGATGTTCCGAGCACGTCCTTCGTCAGTGCGGGCCGGTCATGACCATCCGATCTTCCTTCAGGATGGTTGAACGCCGTGACGGGGGTCTCGGTGACTGTAGGTGCGTAGGTTGAACCCCTGCAAAGCGTAAACAAAACATGATGTGTAGTTAATTGAATTGACTGAACAATACGATAGAAGAAACCGTAGCAGAATGTGAAAGGCGAGCATCATGAACAATGAGGGAGCTTACATGTTGGCGTTCTGTTGAGCGTTGCGCTTCTTCCGTTTACCCGCCACAGCGCGGGCTGTTTTTGCCGAAGCTTTTGCTGCCGCTGCGGAGGCCTTCGCAGACGCGTTGGCGTTTGCTTCATCGTTGCGCTTTTTCCGTAGACTGGCGATATCGCGGGCTTTTTTTGCCGAAGCCTTTGCCGCTTCATCGTTGCGCCTCTTATTGCGCCTCTTACTGGCCATGTCGCCGGCTGCTTGTGCCGAAGCCGTTGCCGTTGCTTCGTCCTTGTGCTTCATCCGTTTACGGGCCACATCATCCCCATTATTATTGACGGAAGTTACCGAACTTGTTTTCGCAGCTTCGGCCTTTGCCTGGATGTCAATTTCTGCATCTGCAATCCGTTTCCAACCTCGAATTGCGGCTTGCTTCCCGGCCTTGTGCTTGAGAGTTGCTTGCTTTAATAGGTCTCGGCGTGCTGTGGCAGCAACTGCACGGACCCGATTTGCAGATGCACGAGCTCGTCTGGCGTTCTTACAACTCGATGAGTCCTTCATTAATTTCGCCAAACTAGCACAGGCTTTTGCCTCGGCGGCACGTTCAGCTCGTGTAGGTTTCTTGTAGTCGTGTCTTTTAGCCGCCGCAGTGTCCTCTTTTTGCTTTTGCTCCGCCTCCCGTAATGCCAGCAGTTCTCTTTCTTGCTCCTTGTTTTGTGCCGAAAGTGATCGAGGGAATAGTCCAGCCCTTGCTTGGGCAGTAGTGGGCTTGGTCTTGAGGCTATTCCTACGACGTCAATTCGTCGCTGCTGTGGACAAAATGGTCGCGTTTGGCGCCGGTGTGGCGTCGATCGAAATTCCNGGGGGGGGGGGGGGGGGGGGGGGGGGGGGGGGGGGGGGGGGGGGGGGGGGGGGGGGGGGGGGGGGGGGGGGGGGGGGGGGGGGGGGGGGGGGACGAAGCGCTCGGTGCCACACCTCCCCGCGTGGCGCTGTTGTTGCCTTTTGAGCGGTTCTTGCTTTGCGTCAGACGGAAATGCAACATTGTTGCCGCAACGCTGTCACTTAACACTGCAGATCCCAGGTTTAAAGTGTTTTGAGTTGCACAACCTACTCGCGCATGTGTATGCACGGAGTATGTGCCCAGCTTACGCTAACCTTCGGTAGGGGGCTGCGATGCGAAGAAGCCCGCTCTGACTGCTGTTTTCACCGCGGACACAAGCAGTAGTCTCAACCTCAAACAGTTGTTTTAAGTGCCTCCTAACGTTAAATGGTCTACACGTCGCATCACGCTACGTAGTACCAAAGCTTAAAATGCCGCCGTTCTCTTAAGGTATCCTACAGCTAGGGCAGATCCGCATATCGCGCATGTGCTTCTTCAAGCAAAACACGATACAATGTGACGGTTTTGTTCCATCAATGGCGAAAAAAAGAAGCAGGTATGCATACGCCTATATTACCCGGACACGGGAAGGCAGGGCATTGAGACCGTCGTGACAGAAAAAGGTACGGAAAATGTTCATCTCCTTAAGCCTATCCCGGGAGTTTCGAGGTCTCGCTACACCATAGACGAAGACCCCTTGCAAGGTGCACACCAAGGATAGACGCATGGAGCGTGACGTTGACAGGCGCGAGTCCCTTTTTCTTACTTGCAGGAGACTTACCTGCCTTACTCGCAAAAAACGAAGAATTGATCCACCTCAAACGACGAGACTTACTTTACCCAAACAAATCATACTGGATATCATTCTGGACAACCCCCTCCCTCCCGTCGTACTTTATCTGTAGAATTCCTTTTGAGCACGCCGCTTAGCTTAGTCCCTGCCTGCCATGGAAACCGACCCGTCTGCATGCACGCATCTCGCTTGCTCCACGCCCTACGCTTGTCAAGCTCAGCTGCCGTGATGGTTCGCAACGTTTAGAAGCCACCAAACCGCTCACCCAAAACACGCAAGAGTGTGTCGTCACACAAACCCGTTCCCCACTAATGCTTGTAGCGAAAACATCGTGCGCCGTGGTGGTGGCGGGAAACACACACGTCGCACCTACCCGCCGAACCCCTCCCCCGACACAAACCCGCCTTCGGCGACGGAGCTCAAAACAGCGGTTCATGGCGCGGGTCCTCGCCACGTCTCGCGCAAAGGGGTACTGCTGCTGTCGGCAACTACTTATTAAGATATTTAGTGCGCCCCGTGGCAGCTAATGCCTCCGATCCGCGAGGCCAAGATATCTACATTTCGGCTCTATTGAAGAGTGGTGGGTTGCACGCTTAAACAACAAGCCAGGAACCGCCCGCCATTCCACATTCCAAGTATTGTACATCGAAACAACTATTGTGTTTTATTACCTCCCGCCTCTAAGTACTCCCCCCGCCCCCCACCTGCTACAAACAAGGCATTTCGCTCCGCATCAACAACCAATCAGTCAGCCGATTTTATTTTTTCTAGGTCTGCCACGTTTTCGTTTCTCTACCCGCGCCGGTGCCGCCGCCGCCGCTCCCGCTCCCGTCGCCGCTCCCGCCCCCCCCCCGCCCCCCGACAAGCCCCACCCGTTAATCGCCGACGCCGCGGCAAGGGCCTGGGCGTAAGCCCCGCTCGCCTGTTCCGCGAGGCTCGTGGCCGCCGCCTCGAACAACGTGCCCGGGGAGTTGTAGGTGAAGCAGTTGGCCACCACCAGCAGCAGGTCGTCCTGCAGCTCGGCAACGTCCCGGTACCGGCGTCCCTCTAGCCGTCCCCTCACGGTGCCCAGGTCCATCGGCCGCAGGATCGCCGAGATGTAGCCGGGGGCCGCGGACTCCGACACCGGCTCGGCGAACCAGCCCTCCTCGTCGATCGCGCCGAGGATGCCCAGCAGGTGCTCGGTCAGGGCCGACAGGTTGGCGTCCACCGGAGGGGGGGGCGACTGCCACCGCTCGCGCGCCAGGCGCAGGATCACGCCCAGCTTCCCGTGCCTGGCCAGCACGTCTTTCTGGTGCTCAAGCATCCCGTTGATGAGGTCGCTGATCGGACGCTCGGGGGCGGGGGCGACAGCGGCGACGCCGTTGGCCCCCTCGCCGCCTGCACCGTTGGGTACCCCTAACCCTACCCCGTTCTCCCCGGCCCCTCGCACGGCTCCGTTAGGCGGATCTCCTGCCGCCGCGCTGGCCGGTTGTTCTGCTCGGCTGCTCCCCCGGCCAGCCGCAAATCCTACAACCGTACTTGGAGCGTCCTCTTCTTTCTCCACCTCCTCCTCTTCCTCCGCTTCCCCGCTGTCGCTGGCGTAGGAAAAACTTGCTTTGCTGGTTGATCTCCTTCGTCGATCGGATTCTCGGACAGGAGCGGTGGCGGCGGCGGCGGCGGCGCTGGCGGAAGAACCACCTACGATCGTGAGAAAAAAGAAAGAAAAACAAGAATGAGTCATCATAGAGAGATCATGGCCCATCATGCCGAAACACACGCACGCACGCCCGCACGTACGCAGAAAGAAAGAAAGAAAGAAAGAAAGAAAGAAAGAAAGAAAGCATAATTAAAGAAAGAGAGAAAACAAAGCAACAATGAAAGCACAGCAAGAAATAAACAAGGAACGAAAAGAACGAAAAGAACGCTCAATCAAGCCCTCCAACACTTGGAGCAAGCAAATCAACGCCCCAAAAGATGCGCGGAATACACGAATGGGGGTGCCAGGTCAACTTCCAGAAAACGAGGGGGGTGATGAATGGGGATTAACAGTCATAGTCAAATTTCCGAATCTCATGTTCAAATGTCATGTTCCCNGGGGGGGGGGGGGGGGGGGAGTTCGACTGTCATCACCGCGATCGCCCACATAGCGAACAATTTCAGCAATTATCAATACAATTAGGTGCATATTACACGATCAACAATGGCTCCTCCCGACTACTTCTACCGGCCTCACCGGAGTAGCTCCTCCCTCTTTCCGTCCGCGCCCGTTTTCGCTTCCCCTGCCGGATCAATCCCCCGCCCTCCTCCTCCCCCTCCTCTTCGTCCTCTTCCTCGTACCCCCCCCGCCGAGCACCAGACGCTCCTCCCACAGACCCCGATCCTTGCCGCGACCGTTGGAGTCCCGCAGAAGAAGCGCCCCCCCCCCCCCCGTTCCTCCCGCTCCCGCTCCCGCCGCCCCCGTTGGCAGTTACCGAGGACGGTCGGCCAATCACAGCGTCGCCTCCGCCGCCGCCTGCGCCCCCACCGCCAGGCTCCGAAATGGCCTTGATGGCTTGTACCAGCTGGTCGGACACTGTAAAGGCGAGCTTGACGATGTCGGAGCCCGGCTCGTTGTACTTGGTGCAGTTATCGTACACCAGGTTGCAGTCGAACTCCAGAGCCTCTACGGAGCAGTAGTAGTCCTGAGGGGAGGAGCCGTTCGGCAACGATCGGGTGTTTGCCGTTACATTTCGAAAAAAATAGGCTTGGGGAGGGGGGGGGGGAGTGCAGAGTCGTGCACGCCGTAGTCGTTAGACCATTGACCTCGCATCCCTACAAAGCCGGGACGGAGCACGCGGGTTCTCACCGGACCAGGCTCTCGCATCACCAAGCGCGAAGGTGGGGGATTACTTGTAGTCTGTTCACCCGCTTCGGCCGAGAAAGGAATTGCACGTGTTTACTGTACACTTTGACACAAGTGCAAAAGATTGAACCAAGCCTATCGAAAAAGCATGCGCCGAACGCAGACATACAGCTGCGGGAGAGCTTGTCATCCTTGGAAATACCGCCTGACGGCGCCATTGTCGATGACTCGAGAGGGCAAAACCAAGGGAGTGATGGCAAGGGCGTCAAAGCTGTACCCGGCGGAGGAGGCGTGTGTCTCGCCGAAAGCCCGACGCTACTACTGTACGTCATCGAGGTGCTCTTCGACGCTTGTACCTCCTCAATGGCGGACTAAATAACTAGCCAACCTTTTCCTAGAGAAACCGAGGATACAACTGCTGAAAACAGCTGCAAACATTTGGTGCACAGCAATGCGTGAGCAAGTGCTGCGTGTTCCAAGCAATGTGAGAGGAGACAACACAAAAATTACACAACAACGACAAGTTATTCAGCAGTGTCCGCACCCCCCACGAAACGACTCGAAGCGACACAGTGCCAACGCTACCTGCAAACAATTGGCAGCACCAAATCGAAACACAAAAAACCTAGACACGCCTTCAGCACCAGCTGCACTCACGCACAAACCGAACATAAGAAACCTAGGCACACCTTCTCCAAGCGCCGCAGGATGAGCCCGAGGTCCATCGGCACGGGGACGATCGTATGGTAGTCCGCCACGTCCACTGGCTCGGCGAAGAGCGCGGCGTCCGGCGACTCGGCAACCTCCCGCACCTTCGCGGCCAGGGGGTCCCGTAGATCGCGGGGGATGCAGGCACGGAGGCTCGCTGGGTCCACCGCCGGCGGGTCTCCGCTCTCGTCCCACGTCACCTGTGCATACATGCACACGATACACGATTGTGCCATCGGCCCGCCACCGTCGTGTGTGCCATATGCCAACGAAAAATAATACAAGACCGCAGAGTGTTCAAGACATCGTGGGGCGGGTTAGGGCTACACGATTCTTGAGTTTGGCCCAACACCCGGCTGCCTCCGGTGTGTGTTGTGCGTGTGTGTACTCATAGCCGTGCATGCTTTAGTCGCTAGACCATTGGTCTGGCATCCCTACAAAGCCTGGACGGAGCACACCGTGTTTTCGCCGGACCAGCTACAAGCACATCACCAAGCGCGGTTGGCCTGGGGAGAATGGGAGGGCAAGATATCAGGGGTGACTCCAGCGAGTAAGCAGTGACAAGCGGCGGCAGCGGCGGAAGCGGCCGATGCCGGTCGATACGCTCCTCCATCTCCTATACTCCACCTGCCCTGTGTTCTCCCGGTGTCAAGACTGACCGTGGTTCGATCGATCGATCAGCGAAGGACAAAACGATAGGGTCTGGGTTAAGGAGCCATTCCACCGCACCGCACAACGAGAACAGCAGTCCATCGTTTTCGGAACGACTGTTGTAGCTCGTTTTACGGAACAAAATCGAAATGAGGGCGGCGGCCTTTCTCCCTCATTCGGCCCGCATTCTATTTTCGTCTGCGTCAAAAGGCTGGGTGTGTCACAAAGCGGTGTCCTTCCCAGTTGTCAACCAGTCAGACGAGCGCTATGGGCACTCACTGAGCTCGATGAACAAAACAAAAAAACGTTTTCACAGCAAAACACCTTCTTTATCTTTTTGGTCAACACGCTGCTGTACGATACGCCAAAACAACAGGATGAATCCTAACCCTACTCACCGGTCTCGGCTCCCATGGCCCCAGAGAGCTTATCGTGTTGTCCAAGTCCCACCGGATGCTCAGGCAGTCCCACGGCGAGTTCGGCCAGTCGTTCCTCGACAATGGCTGCGTCCCCCCGCCGCCCCCCGCCCCCGCCATGCCGATCTTCACCACCGCCCCAAAGTACGGTTTCAGGACCCCCTCCCCGTCCTCACCGTCCTCCCCTTCCTTCCACTCCATCATGACGCGCTCCGAGGGCCTCCAGTTCCGCCCTACCGACTTGTTGTAGCGCCTCTCTGAGACCAAGAAGTCGGCCTCTCCGCAGTCCCTCAGGCTAACGGAGAACGTCTGGCTGTGCGCCTCGGCTGAATCCCCGCCCTCCTCGGTTGGGGGGGGGGCGAAGGAGTCTTCGCGGTAGGCCAGGGGGTTGTCTCCCCTGGAGGCCTGGTTGAGGGCCGTCCTCGTCACCACCGAGGAGCTGACTCTGACCGGGAAGCCGAGGACCTCCAGAGAGAGGCGGCAGACGACCGAGTGGTTGCCGACCTCCTCGGTGTCCTTGGGGAAGACGAACGACATCTCCTTCACCTGGGGGACAAATAATATTCAAAGCAAGAGACAAGCGACGAGGGAGTGGGAGTGCCGACAATTTCGAGGCAAGAGAATCAACAAACAGATGAAGGCAGGGGCTGCGTGCCACACTAATGGTAAGTGTGCCTTCTAATAGTTGTGTACTATACAAATAGCAAGTCGACGATGGAGGGCACGCCTACGACGCAGGAGAAGCAAGAGGCACACCGATGGTCAACGAAAGTACGAGTGCTCCCATTCTTGTTTGCAAGTATTCTCTATCTTCACGATGAGACCCGGACCCTGTCCCTCAATCTCCTCCGCGGGCCCCTCTGGGGGGGGGGGACGGGGGGGGCGCGGACGAGGAAGCTTCGTCGCGTGTGTTTGTCCTAGCACATACACGCAATAACTTGGAGCCTTTTCATGTGGTCAGCCGTTCAGCACGGCCAGCGCTAAGGAAAGAACGCACCCACAGAAACAAGCACACTGCGGCCTGTGCAGGGACTCATGCACCACAACGCACGCCTGTTACCCAACAACAACAACAACAACAACAACAACAACAACAACAACAACAACAACAACAACAACAACAACAACAACAACAACAACAACACCGACAGCGGAAACAAACGCCCAAGAGTCCCAGACTGCGGTTTTGCGTACCACCGAAAAAACGGCCCAAGCAACACAAGAGCCGCCGCCGTCGGCTTCCTTCGCTTGGAGCCCACCCACCTGGCACTTGACGACGGACGGTTGCCCCTTGAAGAACTTGTAGGGGGGCGCCTGGTTCTCAGGGAACGTGCGCAAATACGCCTCGTGCCCCTGGGGGAAGTACATGACCACCTCACCCACCTGTTTCATGGTGGTTCATCGGGGTGGTGGGTAACAGTACAGAAAGCAGCCCGAAATAAAGTGGCAACTTGATTAGTGGAATTGCCGACATAGTGGCACCCTGAATAGTGGAATGCCCGATACAGATATAGTGGCATCCAAACCTCTTGTCACAAATTCAACACGTACGTGAACCCGATATGACTATCGAATAGCAGCGGCACTGCTCTGAATAGCGGCTTGCCCCTTACATTCCACCATGTCGGGCTGCTTACTGTATACTGTATATTCGCGCGGGTGTAACGGAAAGGAAGTGCATAGAGCAGTAGCGCAAGGAGCTTGCACGCGGAACGGTAATTTTTTTCGTGGAATGTGACGTGAATGTGGTGAACTGGAACCAATCGGGTCGCCGGGAGGTCGACCGATCTAGAGTTCACCTTCCTTGCGGGTGGGGTTGGCTGCAAAAGCGCTGCCCAGATCATCATCTGCGGTACCTCCGCGGTGCCCGCGCTTGGAGAAGGTGAACATAAAACAACAGAATAGTTCCTAACCCCTCACGAAAAAGCGTTCGGCAGGAAATAAAGCACATACCACATGTTCTTGCCACAGCAGTATGTGCTTTATTACCTGCCGAACGCTTTTTCGTGAGGGGTTAGGAACTATTCTGTTGTTTTATGTTCACCTTCTCCAAGAACATGTGTTCACACGCTGGAGGGACAGGCCCCGATACGACATACAGTCATAGCTCCGACATAAGAGGGTGATGTGGCAAAGGCCCGCGATCCTCGCCCCTCTTTTATCGAGGGTACCCAACTAAACTACAGCGGGTCGAGTGCGTGACAACCGATTTCGACCCTCTTCAATATCGGAGCCCCCTCTTATATCGATGCCGCCACTAACTGTACATGAACGAACGGCATCTCGCCTGGGGGCAGTAGCCGTGCTGCAAAGCCTTGACAGGATCGTCAAGCGTGAGCCAATCTCGGTCCGCCGGGGTGGGGAACCTCCAGACCATGTCCTCTTCTCCATCCCCGCCCCCCGCCCCCCGCTTGCCCCCGGCGCCTCGGCTCCCCAGCCTCTTCCGGCAACTGGTTAGTTTGTCGTCGAAAAACAGAGCCAGCGCAGCAAAAAATACAGATGCAGCGGCGACACGACGCAAACCACTGGAGGAATAGACAACTGAATCGTTCGGGTTTTCAAGAGAAAGAGCCGGTAGAGTCGAACAAAAACAAAATCGCGGGGGCGACACGAAGACGGCGGTAAAATAAAAAAAATGGAGGAGAGACACAACCCATGGCATATATCTTGTTTGGCTCTCGAAAAGATGATGACCTTACTTCTGGTTCACCCTCGTGAAACGTAGCCTGGGTCTGCGAAAACCTGGCTCCGTCCCGGCGTTGCAGGGGTGCGAGGTCTATGATCTACCAACTGTGGCATACGTCTACATGAGGACACCCCCGCCCCCCCCGCCCCTCAACGATTGGCCATCAGTGATCGGTCCTGTGGGAATAATATTCCGCACTCCGTGGACGCGTAGAAAATGTTCGACCGACCGTGCAACATGCATTTTCATTAGTACACCCCCTCCCCTACACCCTCGGCCGAGCCCCACCCACTTGCAGTGCTAACAGCTCTCGCTACAGCGGTAACAGCGCGCTCACCGTTTGCAGTGGAAGGCGACTTGAGCCTTCGAGAAAGACCATCCCGTCGCCTCCGCACACGGAAAGTGGTACGAGTTCTTGCACGACTCCACCAGGCAGCCGATGGTAGCCCCGCGTCGCTTACAACTCGTGCAGTTCATCTTTCGCCCGCGCTTGATCTGAAGAGAAAAAAACGGACGGGGGGGCGGGGAAGACACGGGGAGGCAGA